CTCTTTGCCATTGGAACCCAAGCGTTGGGTTTGGTGGAACCCAGGCGTAGATTCCTTCAAACCTAGCATGCCTAGGTTCATCTCTTTACCTTGACTTTAGATTTTCATGGTGTGAAATTTTGGGGAGACATGTGAGATTGTTAGGGATCTATAGATATATATATTTAGGTTTTTTTCTTTTTGTGCAGAGAGTAGCCATGGCATCTTCGGATACAAAGCTTGCAGAACAGCTGAAGGAAGTTGAGAACATGCTTATGTTTCCTCCTCCTTCGGTCCCTGAGCTTCTCCCTCTTCTGGATGTAAGCCTTAATCTAGACACTCGTCTTCTCCGTTTTGTGATACTCCGTGTCTTGCTGTTGTTCTTGATATCAAACCCAAGTCCTAGGTTCCAAGGAACCCATGCGCAAAAATTAAAAAAAAAAAATTGTTTTTGTTTTTTGGGTTTTCTTGTTTGATAATGATGATGAAGAACCCAACAATGATAGAAATTGGTTGAAATGAATAGATTGGTGGAGATGTTAGGGTTTGCAAAAGTTGGAAAAAAGGAACATGAAAGAGAAAATGAAAAAAAAAAAAAAATTGGTGGGATGAGTTGGAATGGCCATGTCATCTGTTTTTGCCAACTTGTTAATTTTTGTATGACATATAATGCTTCTTCCGTCTTCCTCCGTCAATTAATGTGAAAAATTAATCGAAGGATCAAATCGGGATTAAAATGATAAATAATAAAGATTAAATCAGGGATTTTTTTAGTTTAGGGACTAAATCAGAAGTTTGTATAATAATTTAGGGACCAAAATAGGATTTTAACCTAAAGGAAAGGCTGTGGGTAGCAACTTCCCTGAATTACTAAAACCATGGCTTTCTGCAATAAAACGATGTACTGCATGCAGAATTCAAATTTCAATTTGAGATTCCATCTTTCCGGTGAAAACTCAATCAATATTATCTTGTCAATAGCCCCATTATTTTTACTTGTCAATGTACGATGTCAGCACTGAGACAAAAGGCCGGCATACCCGGAAAAGTTTTCTTAAATCATTTACCATATAAACTGTCATTTGCAATTGTACTTTCTACCTCTTTCTTATGGCATTCATGGTCATGAAGTTCACAGAACTCTCCATACAGGTCAAGTATGTCTTCCTTCTTGCGCTCTTTTTAACCCATGCCGCCGCCGTCTCTCCACTGAAGAGAAACTGTGATTTTCCAGCAATCTTCAACTTTGGTGACTCAAACTCAGACACAGGTGGGTTTTCTGCTGTGTTTTATCCTCCTCCTCCCCCGTATGGAGAGACATTTTTTCATATGCCGGCCAAGAGATTCTCTGATGGACGCCTCCTGATCGATTTCATTGGTATGGAATATTACTACTAATCCTGTCCATAAGTTAAATTCTCAGAAGCTTTACTGTTTTTTGCTGTTTTAGTTTTATAACATGTGTGCATCATCTTCTCTCCTAGACTGAATACCACAAAGGTAAACATCCTACTAGTTATAATCCTGAAACATTATCTTTATCCTACTTAGCTGTCCTTTGTCCTTCCCTTTGTTTCTTCATGATTTAACCTCTTTTGTATTAAAAGAAAGACTATGGAGAAAAAGGGAGGCATAAGACTCTAAATCTAATAAATGCATTTTTCTTCTATCTAAAAGCTAATTTTCTGACCTTGTATGAACAAATAGCTAAGGGTCTTGGTCTTCCATTTCTGGACTCATATCTTGATTCTCTGGGAACCAACTTCAATCATGGTGCAAATTTTGCCAC